CTGATTGTCTTATTTTTTTGACATGCTTGCAGAGAAAGTCTTACCACAACAAAGTTACTCGGTTGTCACTTGTCATGTTTTCTGGGTTGGTAGATGCACCGTGTACTGTTGAAACAAATTGTTAATTTGAACTTCCGGTGAACACAACAGACTTCTCTTTGACATATGACTTCTCCAATCATTTCTGCTTAAACCCCAGTCCTCCATAATTTACTTTTGAACGCAATGGCCACATCACAAACATAACACTCATGCTTTTTTAAACTTTTCACTGTTTAAAATATTATTCATGTAGTTGAGAAAACTTGATCATTTTTGTTTTAGGGTGCAAAGGTTTTATGTGGAGGAGAACGATTTGTTCCCAGTGACTCCAAACTGAAAGATGGATACTTTGTGTCCCCATGTGTGTTGGGTGAGCAAGCCATATTATTATCATCACCTTCATATCACCATCACAATTTTCTTAAACAAAGGTTTTAACTTTTTATCTCACAATCAGCTTGATTCTGAGCTCCTTTTTCTTTTTCTTTACCTGTACTTATCTTTTTGCTATGCTACACGCACAGATAACTGCAGGGATGATATGACCTGTGTGAAGGAGGAGATCTTTGGACCTGTGATGTCTGTTCTGCCTTTTGACACAGAGGAGGAGGTTCTTCAAAGGGCCAACAACACAACCTTTGGCCTGGCATCTGGAGTCTTCACTAGGTGACTCCATACAGAATATACTGTATATTGTTTCAAAATTAGCGTCTGCCAAAGTTAACACGTGATTTAAATAAAATGATTAACAGAACATCCCATTGGAATTGATAGGAGAAAACCCACACACACACACACACACATTATCTTGGTGAGGACTACTAAGATGATATTTTCTGTCCCCAACCACGCTTTGAAATGTCCCGTTTACACCAAGAACAATAACTATAATGATAACTAAATATACAGTTTAATAATCATTCTAATTCTGAGAACCAGGAAGTCCACACCACTATAATAACAACCCATAGGAACAATATAACTTGAAACACTTCAAGAATTTATTTTTCTAGTTCCAATCAAAATCTAACTTTAAAGAGTTTGAGCATTTAAAATGGCAGACAACATAACTGCAGAAATAAACGTTATTGTCCATTGGTGTGGACGATTTATATTTATTGTTATCTTTATAGCTATCATTCTTTGAATAGGCCTTAAACCTAGTCTTGAAACAGAAGATCCTTTTTATGGTTTATTTATTAAGTTTTAAAACAAAATTTTTAATGTTGTTTTATGGGAATTGCTATGATTTAATTGTATTTATCTGAATCCGTTATCTAGAAAAAAAAATTGATATTAAACATTTTTGTGAATTTTAACATCCTTTTTTCATATTTTGTTTTTACTAATTGGACTAAATGAACCCAGTAAAGAAAACGATAGATTTAACATTCTCCTGTGCTTTGTTTTTAGGGATATAGCTCGTGCCCACAGAGTTGCTGAAAACATTCAGGCTGGAACGTGCTATATCAACAACTACAATGTTGGCCCTGTAGAAGTTCCTTTTGGAGGCTACAAGATGTCAGGTACTCTAAGCTTATCATTTCATGAGACGATTATCGGGGAAAACTTAACCTAAAACCTAAATCTGTTCGGCCAAGTGTTTCAGTACATATAAGTATATACCTTGTAAATAATAGAGAGATCTAACATGTCATTACCTTCCCCTTTCTTTTAGGGTTTGGAAGGGAGAATGGGCAAGTGACGATTGAGTACTACTCTCAGCTCAAGACTGTTGTGGTGGAAATGGGAGATGTGGAAGACTTCTTTTAGGCCATTGTGGTGTTAACCACCAGCATTCATGACAGCCATGTGATTTTTCCAAGTTTTCAGATCTACTTAAAAAGTAGCTGAGCTATGCTGTTGTTGCTTTGACAGTCCATATGTTTGTCTCCAAATTCCATTAGGCCTTAAATTGTGTTGCTATGATATTGTGCTATAACAGGCTTAACTGTTAACATTTTCAGTACTGTGAAATATGTTTGACAAATAGTGTCATATATATTTTTTAATCTTCATAGCTGACTAATTCAATCAAAAGCAAGTGCCTGATGTGTTTGTACTTCACAAATGTATTACAGTCATGTATGGTCAGGGGTGTATTCCAGAGGGGTTGTGTTACCGTCAAACATAACCTAACCATGAACATACTCTAGATTAGCTAAATTTACTCCCGGACGTGTTATTGGAACCAGCATACCTCGAGCAAGTAAGGTGTGGTTTAATTACCTGAGTGTTCAGTGTATGCTACACTTGTTTGTTTACCATCCCTCTGTTCCTAACTGTCAATGCCATGAGGAACTTGTATTAGACTGGTGAATGACAAATTGGTAGCATTTCAAATAAAAGTACCTATCCTTGGTTTTCAAAAGAAATAGTACTCTTTTCATTCACTTTTATGTCTGTGGTGTCACAGGTTCCACAATTGTGGGGCTATTGTGAATGAAACAAACATCTTAACTTTGTAATGACATCGGAAAGTGTGTTCTACAATTAATTTTATTAGATTAAAACAATGCCACTGGAAACAGTGTGCATTCTAATAGATTGCTGAAACATGGATGCATAATGTGTGCACTTGAGTAGGAGTGTCTTCAAAGAAAAATAGTCTGCAGTTGTCTCTAGGTTATGAATAAGGCATGCATAAACAAAACTATGAGCAACATAATTTAAAAAAAGGTATTTTACATAGTAAGGAATATACGATTTTTGGATTGTGTTATATGAAGTGATTATATATTTTGTTTAAGAAAATATTGCAAACTGCAGATTTATTTAGCTAAATTTAGGTAGACATAATCGGTTATAAATATGTCTTAGTTTTTTTTTAAAGGTTTACGAAAAATTAAGAATGCCATCAAATCATTGGAAATGTTAGAAAAACTTTGGTTTGTGAGTGACTTGATTAAGCCCTCTAGAGTTTATATACACATAGCTACATTTAAGTAATTTATTATTTGTAAGTCATTTATTTTACATTTATTCATTTCATTTATCAGACGCTTTTATCCAAAGTGACTTAAAAATGAGAATAATAAAACAGTTACACTAACAGCAGGACAACAATACGTAAGTGCTATGACCTCTTTCAGTTTAATTTAACACATTTTTTTAAGAATAAAATAGAAGGTAAAATAGAAAGTGTTATACATTTACATTTATTAATTAATATTCTATTCATCAAGAATATTATAATAAAATATTTGTAATATTTTTTATTTATTTATTTGCTTTAAGTATATGCTGCTCAGTTTATTGTGACCCTATATTGTCTATATAACAATTATCAATTCCTCTGTTATTTGAATAATTATTTATTTATGTCCCTCTTCTGAAAACTTCCGAAGGAAACAATTCACTTAGTCAAACAGTTCCTAGCGAGACCCGGAACCATAGTGGCGCAGTCGCGTTAGGAACATAGGAAGTGTGATTTGTTCGGTACATAGGGCAACATATCTGTGTTGTGCCAACTAGATAATTGGTGAGTATGTTTTTCAGACTAGAAGAACAAGCTTCACTGGTATTTGTTGTATTTGTCAACGTTGATTTTTAGTGTTTGCTGTATTTCAGGTTATAATGCTAAGATCTCTCTGTATTTTCATGTCACTAAGTTAGATCATTTGTGGTTTATAAGTTTGTTAATATTGTGTTGTTTCTACATTCAGGTCCATTTCAAATGCCCTGCTTTAATACAACTGATTAATAAAGAAGGCATTTGTGCGAGAGCAATGGCAGACAAGGTCGACAGTGGTAAATATTTATCAGATGTTTCTGAAATGTTATGTTGTATGCCAATTAAAAATTGAGTAATCTGCATACATGTCCATAAGTTGTTTCGAGAGTTTTAACATTAAGTGACACGCACGAAGACAATAGCACATGTCAATATGCTTATTATTGGCACAATCAGTCTGTATCACGACACCTGACAGACACCGAGTCTTTTTTATATTTTATTTGTATGCTTTATTTGAACAGTTACAGTGTAAAACAACAAAATTGAAACACAACAATAATTATTAAGAATAACAAAAATGTAAAGAATAGTGAAAGAAAACACAACATCCTATAAAACAAAAACCGGTTAGACAGTGAAATAAAAAAGCAAGTGACATTTTAATTAACAATTAAACACATTAAAGTCAGTCATATTTTTTCACACTTTGTGTCACATCTGTATTTGATTGGCATGTGCCTCTGAATGTTTTGTAATACCAGTGCTAATTTGTTGTTTATGTCGCAAAGACACAAAATAAAGCTATCATGGGTCACTACGAATAACATATTAAAAATCGCATCTGTTTCTGTAAACCTTCATATTTGCATGATGCTGCAAAGACGCACACCAGTCGGTGTCATTATAAGTAAGTGTAACACTGGCCAGCGCCAGATTCGCATATGTACCTGACCTCTGCAGAAGCATCCAATTGCACCAAGTCTGGTTAGACAGACAGAAAAGCGCAGCCAATGCCAGTTAAAGCCCCACCCCCTTACCTGCAAGCATATATCGTAAGTCCTGCCTTCGTTTCTGTTCTCCATTAAGTATATTTGCTTCTCGTGCTGCAACCGGGGAAAATCTGGTGGATCTCTCCACTCTATGTTGTAGAGAACCAGTAATCGATTGTTCTCCTTCATCATCTTGTGCTCGAGATCCACCTATGGGAGAGACATGGACAGCTCCCTGATTGCCCAATACAATCACAGTGAGGTTCTATCTGCTAGAGCAGGACCGTATCCCCAGGGAGGTGGTGACTGACACGGCCCATAATAATGAACCTGCAATCCTGCAATTGTCTTTGTCATACAACATATAGTGTTGTTTATGCTCAGTTATTGCACACAACACTATATACTTTTAATTGGAATGGGATTGGCGTCAGGTTAGGAATCAGAAAGTTAGAATTAACAGCCACTCTCTACTAAATAGCTACAACTGCTCTTCTGTTGCTACTTTACAGATGTTGACTTATCAGCTGATTCTTCACCAGATACTGGAGATAAAGATAAGGAGGATAGTAAGTTTGATTTTCAGATTTAATATTTTTTGTAATGTTTCATAGCGCTGTTTATACTCAGTTATGCAGACAACACTAAATATTTTTTCTTGTATGACACAGACAAGAGGAGACTTCCAAGGACTGCTGAGAACGTCACTCACTCTGAACCTGGATCTACAATAATAGAGGATAAAGAGAACGTCAATAACATTGAGAAGAGAAAAATAGGTATTTTTTCTTAGAATGAAGCAGATGACTGCACTTGTTTCTTATCAATGTGTGTATTTGTCATTTATAAGCAGTTATATACAGTTGTAAACAGCATTCATGCTTGTCTTAATGGTCCCTAAATAGGGAAATATAAAAATGCAGGGAGTTAAAGGTCAAGTATTAACTTTTATTTTGTGTGATTTTAGTATTCAATATTCCGCATTAATATTCTCTTATAGACAACAGAATTGTGGCTACTTCAGAGACTAACAAATCTAAAGAAACAGAGAAGGCAGGAGATATAAATGAGAGAGGTGATGGACTTAAAGACAAAGATAAAGCAAATGAGATGGGTGAGGATGAAGTCCAGGATCGAGATAGGAGCTCTGAGGCAGAATCTAAGAAGCTATCTACACCCAGTTTGGAAGGTAAAATACTATTCGAGAAGTCAGCTTAATTAAGTTCACAGATTTAAAACCAGCCTTTTGATGTTACAATGTCAGTAGTATTATGTAAATGAACAATGTCTACTCTTTCTCCATGTTAATACCTGCATTCGGATATCCGTTTATTCGTCATCAAAAGTTTGCCGCATGATGCAAAATGTATAATTTTGTGTCATCTGACAGCCTTTTGACTGCTCCAGGGCTATTGTTAAAACTACAAGTGAAACTTCTGCTCTGTTTGTGTTCCTGTCCATGAACAGTTGGATCGGCAGAGAGGCAACACCAAATTCAAAAGTGTATAAATGAGTGTTTTGAGTTTTTGGCCAAAGAGAAAGTGTGTTTGTGTATTAAACAGCATTTAATATTGTTGTATTATGCTGTCTTTGTCATACAACATATGTAGTGATGTTTATGCTCAGTTATTACACACAACACTATATACTTTTAATTGGAATGGGATTGGCGTCAGGTTAGGAATCAGAAAGTTAGAATTAACAGCCACTCTCTACTAAATAGCTACAACTGCTCTTCTATTGCTACTTTACAGATGTTGGCTCATCTGCTGATTCTTCACCAGATACTGGAGATAAAGATAAGAAGGATGGTATGTTTGGTTTTCATATTGATCTGTGCACTGCAGTCAGAAGTCTAGTGTTAACTTTTATTTTGTGTGATTTTAGTATTCAATATTCCGCATTAATATTCTCTTATAGACAACAGAATTGTGGCTACTTCAGAGACTAACAAATCTAAAGAAACAGAGAAGGCAAGAGATATAAATGAGAGAGGTGATGGACTTAAAGACAAAGATAAAGCAAATGAGATGGGTGAGAATGAAGACCAGGATCGAGATAGGAGCTCTAAGGCACAATTTGATAAGGAAACTCCGCCCAGTTTGGAAGGTAAAATACTATTCGAGAAGTCAGCTTAATTAAGTTCACACATTTAAAACCAGCCTTTGGTGGGGCAACACCAAATTCAAAAGTGTATAAATGAGTGTTTTGAGTTTTTGGCCAAAGAGAAAGTGTGTTTGTGTATTAAACAGCATTTAATATTGTTGTATTATGCTGTCTTTGTCATACAACATATGTAGTGATGTTTTTGCTCAGTTGTTACACACAACACTATATACTTTTAATTGCAATGGGATTGGCGTCAGGTTAGGAATCAGAAAGTTAGAATTAACAGCCACTCTCTACTAAATAGCTACAACTGCTCTTCTATTGCTACTTTACAGATGTTGGCTCATCTGCTGATTCTTCACCAGATACTGGAGATAAAGATAAGGAGGATGGTATGTTTGGTTTTCATATTAATCTGTGCACTGCAGTCAGCAGTCTAGTGTTAACATCATATTAATTCGTTATTGTCCTCAATAGAGGAAATTTGTTTCCATAGTCTGTACCAGGAGCAACATTCAACAACTTCAATTTTGTGTGATATTATTGTACATTTTGAATTTATTTGTGAGGCCTGCAGTATGTCTTTTTTTTTTACGTTAATAAAAATTGTGTGTGTGTGTGTGTGTGTGTGTGTGTGTGTGTATATATATATATATGTGTATGTATATGTATATAACAAAAGAATAAGTGTGGCACTATTACAGATTTAATATTTGTTGTAATGTTGACTCCGTTATGCACACAACACTGTACTTTTTCTTCCTTACAGACACAGACAAGATGACAGATTCCTGTCTGAGTGCTGAGAACGTCACTCACTCTGAACCTGGATCTACAATATTAAAGGATAAAGAGAACGTCAATAACATTGAGAAGAGAGAAATAGGTATTTTTTCTTAGAATGAAGCAGATGACTGCACTTGTTTCTTATCAATGTGTGTATTTGTCATTTATAAGAAGTTATATACAGTTGTAAACAGAATTCATGCTTGTCATAATGGTCCCTAAATAGGGAAATATAAAAATGCAGGGAGTTAAATGTCAAGTATTAACTTTTATTTTGTGTGATTTTAGTATTCAATATTCCGCATTAATATTCTCTTATAGACAACAGAATTGTGGCTACTTCAGAGACTAACAAATCTAAAGAAACAGAGAAGGCAGGAGATATAAATGAGAGAGGTGATGGACTTAAAGACAAAGATAAAGCAAATGAGATGGGTGAGAATGAAGTCCAGGATCGAGATACGAGCTCTGATGCAGAATCTGCTAAGGAAACTCCGTCCAGTTTGAAAGGTAAAATACTGTTCGAGAAGTCAGCTTAAAAAGTCAAGTTTGAGCAGCGCTTATTTTTTTCGGGCGTGCATATTAATCAATGAGTGCATTCACACCGGGAGCAGGAGCAGTGTGTGAGCAGCAGAGAAGCGAGGTTTTCGGAAAGAGTATATTTTTGCTGCGCTGCTCACGCTCAATTAAATTGAAAGGACACTTTTGATTGACAAAATAAATATGATTTCATTTCACACAAAAAGTGGCCAAAATTCATAGAATAAGCATGTCTAGTGTGTTTTAACAAGAACTGGATTGTGTCAGAAAAGAAAATGAAAAAAAGAAGAAAAAATTTATAGAATATTTATCCATTTAAATTGTCTTTTATTATTCAGTTTGGGTTAAAGTATGGTGTATTATAAAAAAAAAAAACACTAAATTAAACTAGCCAGAGCATATAATATATAAACTTTCTTTTAGTTTATGTACAGTAATAGACAAGACAGGTATATGCTAGCTCTACCTTCGCAGATTGTGCTTTCTTCTAAAAAACAAAATTAAGTTGTCTTTGTAAAGAAATGCTTGCTTAAATATAGCATTGGAGCCGGTGGTCTGACGCTGTACAAACACTTCCAGTGTGAATACTCTTGCTGGGTGAAACGGCTGTTAGGGTCAATACATCATATACTGCTTCTTCTGGACCACAGATCAGTGTGTGTGTGTGTGTGTATTAAACAGCATTTAATATCGTTGCATAACGCTGTCTTTGTCATACAACATATATAGTGATTTTTATGCTCAGTTATTGCACACAACACTATATACTTTTAATTGGAATGGGATTGGCGTCAGGTTAGGAATCAGAAAGTTAGAATTAACATCTCTACTAAATAGCTACAACTGCTCTTCTGTTGCTACTTTACAGATGTTGACTTATCAGCTGATTCTTCACCAGATACTGGAGATAAAGATAAGGAGGATGGTAAGTTTGATTTTCAGATTTAATATTTGTTGTAATGTTTCATAGCGCTGTTTACGCTCAGTTATGCAGACAACACTAAATACTTTTTCTTGTATGACACAGACAAGACGAGACTTCCAAGGACTGCTGAGAACGTCACTCACTCTGAACCTGGATCTACAATAATAGAGGATAAAGAGAACGTCAATAACAGTGAGAAGAGAAAAATAGGTATTTTTTCTTAGAATGAAGCAGATGACTGCACTTGTTTCTTATCAATGTGTGTATTTGTCATTTATAAGCAGTTATATACAGTTGTAAACAGAATTCATGCTTGTCATAATGGTCCCTAAATAGGGAAATATAAAAATGCAGGGAGTTAAAGGTCAAGTATTAACTTTTATTTTGTGTGATTTTAGTATTAAATATTCCGCATTAATATTCTCTTATAGACAACAGAATTGTGGCTACTTCAGAGACTAACAAATCTAAAGAAACAGAGAAGGCAGGAGATATAAATGAGAGAGGTGATGGACTTAAAGACAAAGATAAAGCAAATGAGATGGGTGAGAATGAAGACCAGGATCGAGATAGGAGCTCTGAGGCAGAATCTGCTAAGGAAACTCCGTCCAGTTTGAAAGGTAAAATACTATTCGAGAAGTCAGCTTAATTAAGTTCACACATTTAAAACCAGCCTTTGGTGGGGCAACACTAAATTTAAAAGTGTATAATGAGTGTTTTGAGTTTTTGGCCAAAGAGAAAGTGTGTTTGTGTATGGGCTCTATGCACGGCGTTATTTCCGGTGAAGGATTAAGGATGCTCGATAACTTCCGCCGATCATAGAGTCCAATGCAATACCGACAATTTATATTGAATTTTATACTCCATGGTTATACTAAAGAAACGTTAGTCACAAAAACAGATAAAACAGACACCCCTCGTTGTGTTTATGCTTCTTTTTAAAATTATATTAAATAAACATAACTATATATAAAATTACATCTAAACGTATGTACGTTTCGTTTCAAAGACGGGAGGACAGTAAATATTGAAGACTCTGCCATAATCCCGTTTTCTCCGGTTTTCCTCCGCTTTAATCTACACAACCGGAAATGGACGAGCATCCTTACGTCAAATGCGGAATTTATGCGTGCATATAGCCTATTAAACAGCATTTAATATTGTTGTATTATGCTGTCTTTGTCATACAACATATGTAGTGATGTTTATGCTCAGTTATTACACACAACACTATATACTTTTAATTGGAATGGGATTGGCGTCAGGTTAGGAATCAGAAAGTTAGAATTAACAGCCACTCTCTACTAAATAGCTACAACTGCTCTTCTATTGCTACTTTACAGATGTTGGCTCATCTGCTGATTCTTCACCAGATACTGGAGATAAAGATAAGGAGGATGGTATGTTTCATTTTCATAATGATCTGTGCACTGCAGTCAGAAGTCTAGTGTTAACTTAAATTTTGTGTGATATTATTGTACATTTTGAATTTATTTTAGAGGCCTGCAGTATGTCTTTTTTTACGTTAATAAAAATTGTATATGTATGTATGTGTGTGTGTATTCATGTATGTATATGTATATAACAAAAAAATAAGTGTGGCACTATTACAGATTTAATATTTGTTGTAATGTTGACTCCGTTATGCACACAACACTATACTTTTTCTTCCTTACAGACACAGACAAGATGACAGATTCCTGTCTGAGTGCTGAGAACGTCACTCACTCTGAACCTGGATCTACAATAATAGAGGATAAAGAGAACGTCAATAACATTGAGAAGAGAAAAATAGGTATTTTTTCTTAGAATGAAGCAGATGACTGCACTTGTTTCTTATCAATGTGTGTATTTGTCATTTATAAGCAGTTATATACAGTTGTAAACAGAATTCATGCTTGTCATAATGGTCCCTAAATAGGGAAATATAAAAATGCAGGGAGTTAAATGTCAAGTATTAACTTTTATTTTGTGTGATTTTAGTATTCAATATTCCGCATTAATATTCTCTTATAGACAACAGAACTGTGGCTACTTCAGAGACTAACAAATCTAAAGAAACAGAGAAGGCAGGAGATATAAATGAGAGAGGTGATGGACTTAAAGACAAAGATAAAGCAAATGAGATGGGTGAGAATGAAGTCCAGGATCGAGATACGAGCTCTGATGCAGAATCTGCTAAGGAAAACTCCGTCCAGTTTGAAAGGTAAAATACTGTTCGAGAAGTCAGCTTAAAAAGTCAAGTTTGAGCAGCGCTTATTTTTTTCGGGCGTGCATATTAATCAATGAGTGCATTCACACCGGGAGCAGGAGCAGTGTGTGAGCAGCAGAGAAGCGAGGTTTTCGGAAAGAGTATATTTTTGCTGCGCTGCTCACGCTCAATTAAATTGAAAGGACACTTTTGATTGACAAAATAAATATGATTTCATTTCACACAAAAAGTGGCCAAAATTCATAGAATAAGCATGTCTAGTGTGTTTTAACAAGAACTGGATTGTGTCAGAAAAGAAAATGAAAAAAAGAAGAAAAAATTTATAGAATATTTATCCATTTAAATTGTCTTTTATTATTCAGTTTGGGTTAAAGTATGGTGTATTATAAAAAAAAAACACTAAATTAAACTAGCCAGAGCATATAATATATAAACTTTCTTTTAGTTTATGTACAGTAATAGACAAGACAGGTATATGCTAGCTCTACCTTCACAGATTGTGCTTTCTTCTAAAAAACAAAATTAAGTTGTCTTTGTAAAGAAATGCTTGCTTAAATATAGCATTGGAGCCGGTGGTCTGACGCTGTACAAACACTTCCAGTGTGAATACTCTTGCTGGGTGAAACGGCTGTTAGGGTCAATACATCATATACTGCTTCTTCTGGACCACAGATCAGTGTGTGTGTGTGTATTAAACAGCATTTAATATCGTTGCATAACGCTGTCTTTGTCATACAACATATATAGTGATTTTTATGCTCAGTTATTGCACACAACACTATATACTTTTAATTGGAATGGGATTGGCGTCAGGTTAGGAATCAGAAAGTTAGAATTAACAGCCACTCTCTACTAAATAGCTACAACTGCTCTTCTATTGCTACTTTACAGATGTTGACTTATCAGCTGATTCTTCACCAGATACTGGAGATAAAGATAAGGATGGTAAGTTTGGTTTTCAGATTTAATATTTGTTGTAATGTTTCATAGCGCTGTTTATACTCAGTTATGCAGACAACACTAAATACTTTTTCTTGTATGACACAGACAAGGCGAGACTTCCAAGGACTGCTGAGAACGTCACTCACTCTGAACCTGGATCTACAATAATAGAGGATAAAGAGAACGTCAATAACATTGAGAAGAGAAAAATAGGTATTTTTTCTTAGAATGAAGCAGATTACTGCACTTGTTTCTTATCAATGTGTGTATTTGTCATTTATAAGCAGTTATATACAGTTGTAAACAGAATTCATGCTTGTCATAATGGTCCCTAAATAGGGAAATATAAAAATGCAGGGAGTTAAAGGTCAAGTATTAACTTTTATTTTGTGTGATTTTAGTATTCAATATTCCGCATTAATATTCTCTTATAGACAACAGAATTGTGGCTACTTCAGAGACTAACAAATCTAAAGAAACAGAGAAGGCAAGAGATATAAATGAGAGAGGTGATGGACTTAAAGACAAAGATAAAGCAAATGAGATGGGTGAGAATGAAGACCAGGATCGAGATAGGAGCTCTAAGGCAGAATCTGATAAGGAAACTCCGCCCAGTTCGAAAGGTAAAATACTGTTCGAGAAGTCAGCTTAATTAAGTTCACATATTTAAAACCAGCCTTTGGTGGGGCAACACTAAATTCAAAAGTGTATAATGAGTGTTTTGAGTTTTTGGCCAAAGAGAAAGTGAGTTTGTGTATTAAACAGCATTTAATATTGTTGCATTTTGCTGTCTTTGTCATACAACATATATAGTGATTTTTATGCTCCGTTATTACACACAACACTATATACTTTTAATTGGAATGGGATTGGCGTCAGGTTAGGAATCAGAAAGTTAGAATTAACAGCCACTCTCTACTAAATAGCTACAACTGCTCTTCTATTGCTACTTTACAGATGTTGGCTCATCTGCTGATTCTTCACCAGATACTGGAGATAAAGATAAGAAGGATGGTATGTTTGGTTTTCATAATGATCTGTGCACTGCAGTCAGAAGTCTAGTGTTAACTTCAATTTTGTGTGATATTATTGTACATTTTGAATTTATTTTAGAGGCCTGCAGTATGTCTTTTTTTACGTTAATAAAAATGGTATATGTATGTATATATGCATGTATGTGTGTGTGTATTCATGTATGTATGTGTATATAACAAAAAAATAAGTGTGGCACTATTACAGATTTAATATTTGTTGTAATGTTGACTCCGTTATGCACACAACACTGTACTTTTTCTTCCTTACAGACACAGACAAGATGACAGATTCCTGTCTGAGTGCTGAGAACGTCACTCACTCTGGATCTGGATCTACAATAATAGAGGATGAAGAGAACGTCAATAACACTGAGAAGAGAAAAATAGGTATTTTTCTTAGAATGAAGCAGATGACTGCACTTGTTTCTTATCAATGTGTGTATTTGTCATTTATAAGCAGTTATATACAGTTGTAAACAGCATTCATGCCTGTCATAATGGTCCCTAAATAGGGAAATATAAAAATGCAGGGAGTTAAAGGTCAAGTATTAACTTTTATTTTGTGTGATTTTAGTATTCAATATTCCGCATTGATATTCTCTTATAGACAACAGAATTGTGGCTACTTCAGAGACTAACAAATCTAAAGAAACAGAGAAGGCAGGAGATATAAATGAGAGAGGTGATGGACTTAAAGACAAAGATAAAGCAAATGAGATGGGTGAGAATGAAGACCAGGATCGAGATATGAGCTCTGAGGCAGAATCTAAGAAGCTATCTACACCCAGTTTGGAAGGTAAAATACTATTCGAGAAGTCAGCTTAATTAAGTTCACAGATTTAAAACCAGCCTTTTGATGTTACAATGTCAGTAGTATTATGTAAATGAACAATGTATACTCTTTCTCCATGTTACTACCTGCATTCGGATATCCGTTTATTCGTCATCAAAAGTTTGCCGCATGATGCAAAATGTATAATTTTGTGTCATCTGACAGCCTTTTGACAGCTCCAGGGCTATTGTTAAAACTACAAGTGAAACTTCTGCTCTGTTTGTGTTCCTGTCCATGAACAGTTGGATCGGTAGAGGGGCAACACCAAATTCAAAAGTGTATAATGAGTGTTTTGAGTTTTTGGTCAAAGGGAATACCACAGCCCTTTTTCTCTATTTTCTCTTGTCATGTAGCACCGATTTCCAACAAAAACAAAAACAATTGTGTTTCTACTGCATAGATTGCCTGGTTTTTATTAAAAGCCCATCTTGTCACCAGTGAATTACCCCTTTAAGTGATTCTCCTGCAGTATGCCATTGCCATATTATAAATTTACATTTTGTAATCTAATTTTTATAGATTAGGTCAATTGTTGCAATTTGAAAATTGCTATTTTGTTCTTACATTTAATAGTTGTTGCCTGCTTTTTACATTTAGAGTCACAACAACATAAGTCTTCTGGATTTCTACGAGAAAGACAACCACAGATCAGAGATGCAGGAAATGACAGTGAGTTGTTCTTCTCTTCATTCTGACTGTCTATAAAGAAATTACTTAACTAAAAAAAGTATTTAACATTACGAACAATGACGGTCAAATGAGTATCGCAGAGAAGCGGCCAGTAATATCACTCATATTTTTTTTTCTTACAGAGCTGATATGGATTTGTGCTGCTGCTGTTGTCCTTCTTGCATATGTGGTTTATTGTAAACTATATTTTTCTGACTCCACTCCACCTGTACCAAAAAAGTTTAATGTGGTGGACGTGTTCAATCAGGAAATGGAAAAACTTCAGACTAGCTTTCCAAATCAGCGGACAGAATTCTGGAGGAGGAGTATGATTCATCTTAGACGCCACCTAAAAACTGAGCAGCCCACAGAACCCGTCAGCCTTATTCTAACGTCTGGTCACAGGGCTGAAAAGACACTTGGTTGTCTGGCTCAATGCTTGGCTCATGCTTTTTCCACTGCCCGTAACTCATCAGCTCTGAACATTAATGGAAAAGACAAAGCGTCACAAGACAGTGATCAGGTCAAGCTGGACATTGATAGTGAGTTGAGAAATGCCTTTGAGGGTAAAAAGTTTGCTGCGGTAATCCACCGATTTGAGGAGCTCCCTCCTGGATCCACTCTCATCTTTTACCGATACTGTGACCATGAGAATGCGGCTTATAAAGATGTCTTCCTGGCCTTTACTGTAATGATTGATACAGAAGTGGAAGTGCCATCCAATGTCAGTTTAGGAAGAGTTGAGGAGATGGTTCAAGAGCACGTAACACAGAAGTTTGTCTCCTCAGACAAGTTAGCTACGTTTAATCAAATGGATGTGGACAAACTGAGTGGACTGTGGAGCAGAATTTCACATCTTATCTTGCCAGTGGCTGCAGAAGAGAAAATTGAACATCAGGGCTGTGGTGGGGACTGTGGTAAATCATTTTGAAATGTTTTTTTATTACGACTTTAAATGTTATACTCATGAGTTGCCTCACTAATGAGGGCATTTGAACACAAATCATACTTTGAATTTTAAAAAAAGATTCATATTTGCACGTGCTGCTGTATAAATGATGGTCCTCACAATTTGCTTTCTTTCACACTAAATAAATTCCCAGATTTATATTTTATAGAAGGATAAAACAAAGTAATTTTCCCATTTGTATTGCTTTTCTTTGTTTTCATGTAGATCTTTTTGTATCTAAATTATGTCTTACATTAAAGTTATTTTTAATCTGTAAATCTGTTATTTTTAATCTGTCTTGGTTGACATTGGATGAACGTGTAATATATTCGATGAATTGTTGAGGTATTCTTTCTTTAAAGCTTTATTGGATAAAATAAACGTGCCTTAATAAATGCATCTGCAATGTGATTCCTTTGACACGCTTGTAACGGATTAGCCTACAGATAAAGCAGGAATGAATGCTGTGTGTTGAGCTTCTAACCATAGACAGCTTCTAACGCATTTAGGATGAAATGAAAGTACTGTGAACGATTTCCGGGAATTAAGTTCAGTTGTGTTCCACTGAAGTCGCTCCGTGGAAAAGCATCATTAATGTTCCGTTTTCCGGTTTGAGCTGCATAGGGAAAGTTAAAAGTTTGTCAAAAAGTGTGTGATATAAAACAAATGGATTCGGGTTATTCTAAAGAAGATGGAACTACAGCTAGGAGAAGAAGCGCCAGAACTTCATCTAAAACAGGTTTGGCTTTTTAAAACTCTTAACGTGACTTCAATACTACAGAAAAGTAAATTGAGCCACATGCTAATTTATCTTCAATAACGTTTAATATTATCTGATGCTAAAAGAACGATACCGTAATGCACAGTATATATATATATAATGTTAGGGGTTTCATTGCAAATCTAAAGCTGTTAAGTAAACAGTCTAACGCGTTGCTTAGCAAACCTTGGTGTTTGAGTTTAGATTCTGTGTTCATCCGTCTGTCTTTACAGTATTTTTTTTATTATCAATAAAATGCTAACGTTAATCTAACTTAATTATTTGAAGGTCATTGTGTCTCCGTAACGTTACATCAAGTTTATTACAGCGTTTTTAAATTATAACGTAAATCTTCGCAATTTACGTAAGTTACAGGTTCTCGCACGTTTGTGCATCGCGTAACGTTATGCTCTTTATAAAACAGAGCAAAATTGTTCTTCCAAAGCTTCTCTCTCTCTATCTCTCTCCATATAAAACATACGTTATTTAGAATTACATAGCTCGCTAACTAGACGAAATTGTTCAAATAGCCATTGGTTAGCTTGAGCATGTTAGCTATAATGAGCTAATACTAGTTATAATTTTTATAATATCAAGCCGTTTAGTGTAATCGTTTCACTGACATTTCTTATAAGGCTATTATTGAATATTATTGATTATTATCTCTGTTTAAAGATCCCGTCAAAATCGGCTGTTACTCAGTTTCCTGTTCCTGTTCCGGTAATGCACAAGCAAAGTAACTTACTTAACAAAAACTTGTCGCTTATGTTATATTTCTGTAACATAATTTCTCGGTTCGTCCTCTTAGCTTTATCTTGGCTTGCTTTGTAATTTTTTACTGGGCAGTCGAATGTACATTCATCAAAAACCTGTGGATACACTGACACAAAACCCAAACAAAAAATTACAGACCATACACAACATCTGGAGGTTTGTTATCATTAAGAAAAGTACCTTTCATTTTACTCACAAGTAACTTTTTCATTGCAGATCCCTCTAGTTTGGGTGCTGTACCACTGGAAAAACAACAAGAAGCCTTAATAGGAAATAAGAAAAGCCTGAAACATCAGAATCAGAATCCCACCATAGAGAAAGCAAAAAGTTTGTAAAATCTTTATATTGTAATTATGTTAGAGTAAGCAATTTTTACTGGTAAAAGTGCACGTTATGATGCTTAAATAACATTCTTACTGTATGACAGACACTTGATCATATAATAATAGTGCAACAGCATTTGGCTTACATTTGTACATTTGCGGTAATGACTGAAGTTTTGCACTGATGTTTGAAGCTCTTTATTGTAAACTATATATTTTTTTTTAGCAATCATGTAGTTTGGGTTTTAAGAGGATAATAATGAAAAGTCAGGCTATATTTGTTTTCTTGCTGTGAATTTTCATTTTCTTATCTTCTGGATAATGCTATTTTGTCATAGTTCCTGTTGTTGTAACATTTTATTTAGTTTAATACTATTATTAAGGTTTGGGGTTGATTGAAATTTTTAAAAATGTTGTTCACTTATGTGGACATATTAAGACTCAATATGTTTGATCAAAACTACATTAAAAACGGTCGGCAATATTGTGATTAAAATAACTATTTTCTATTTTTGATGTATATATTTTAAAAAGTAATTTATCCCTGTGATGGCAAGGCTGAATTTTCAGCAGCAGTCTTCAGTGTCACATGATCTTCAAAAATCATTCTAATATGCTGATTTGGTGATCAAGAAACATTTCTTATTAGCACTGTTAATAATGCTGCATAATATTTCTGTAAAAACTGTTTGTGCAGTATTCTTCTTTGATGAGAAAGAACACACACAAATGAAGTGTGTTTATTTGAAATAGATTTTTGTTACAAATGTCTCTACTATCACTTGACCAATTTAATGCATCCATGCTAAATAATATAATTTATTTTTCTATTTAAAAATCTTACTGACCCCAAACTTTTGAACTGTAATGTGCATGCGTATTTCTTTTAACCACATCCTCTATCTTAGCTGCATACAGTGCTTATGTTGAACCCAGACCCCAACTAAAAAGAAGCAGGAAAATGAGGGAAGAGGATGGTGCATCCAGAACTGTCAATGGATCTAAAAAGTCCAAGAGCCTCAAGAAGGGGGATGATGATGATGATGATGATGATGATGATGATGGTGGTACGCCAAATTAAATTAAAAATAAATGGTCTCACATTTTGTTTCTCAGGCAAAACATATTTGCTATGCTAATGTTTACACTCATTTATATTAAACCAACGCAGAATCCCCTGTTAAGAAGAAAAAGCTTAAAGAGACAGAGAAGGTAAGAGAGATAAATGAGAGAGGTGATGGATTTAAACACACTGATGAAGAAGATGTGGAGATGGGTGAGGATGAAGACCAGGATCAAGAAGATCAGGATCAAGATATGAACTCAGATGAGGGGTCTGAGCAGGAGCAGGACAATGAGCCCAGTTTGAAAGGTAAGATGCTATTTGAGAAACAAACAAAAGGTGTTAGATCAAATAATATTAAACAGGTGGTGCTATATTTCTTCAGTGGATTCCTCAGCCCAGCCTGGGACAATAGTAAAGCATCTTGCCTATGCATTTGGAGAAAATCTGAGAAGGGAGGAGATAGTGGGCAGCCGAATGTCCATTCATCAAAAACCTGTGGACCATGAAATAGACAGACTCAAAACCCAAACAAAAAATTACAGACCAAACACAACATCTAGAGGTTTGTTATCATTAAGAGAATGACCTAATTATAATAATATCACAAGTAACTTTTATAATTTTGTAACTAATTTAATTATCACAAGTAACTTTTTCATTGCAGATCCCTCTAGTTCGGGTGCTGTACCACTGGAAAAACAACAAGACGCCTTAATGAGAAATAAGAATAGCCTGAAATATGAGAATCAGAATCCCACAATGGAGAAAGCCAAAAGTTTGTAAAATCTGTATATTGTAATTATATATACCGTATATTAGAGTAAGCATTTTTTTTTTCACTGGTAAAAGTGCACATTATGATGCGTAATATTCTTACTGTATATGTCACAATTGTTCATGAATTTTAATTGATTAAAGTTTATATCCCATCACTAGATGCCCCATGTTCTGGTAACTGGAACAGATATCAATCTGCACCCCTGATGAGCAATGTCTACCCAACAATTAAACATCCCATTACAATACCAACCACTCATCACAAAAACATAGGTAATAAAATATCTTTTGCATTTGTCACTTACTATTCTCTTATTTCATTACTTGGAAAAAAGATTTATAATCATTTTTACATTCAGAATGTTGTCTATTAAAAAAATAGCCAATAAAGTAAAATGGATAATATTTTAAGAATTTGTAGATCATAATTCTTTTACTTTGTCTTCAAGAATGCAAGAATTTACAGAAACCAGTCACCTCAAAACCAAGGCCAGTCTCTTCCTCTCGAGGTATTTTTTGTGTCCTTCATCTATTCCACATAGTTTAAACAAACAGATTTGCCTCATGTTCACTATTCTTTATTATGCATGTTTTCCAAGGCTGGTTGTGGTACAGGAACAAGCTTCTTTGGTGTTCTCTGATACTGACAGGAGTCCTGGCTTTGGCCTATCAGATATTTCTACACTTCCATTTGCGTCAAACTGATATGTCTCATTCTGAAACCATAGAGAAATTTGATCTGGACTTAGTTGCTCTACGGACCCTTTTTCCCAGTCAGCGTTCAGTGTTCTGGAAGAGGAGTGGGAAACATCTTAAGCGCCACCTGGAGATGGTCAGCCCCACTGAACCGGTCAGTGTAATTCTGACTGCTGGCCTTCAAGCTGAAAGGACGCTCGGCTGCCTTGCTCGAAGCTTAGCCATGGCGTACTCCACGTTCCGCAATGCTTCAATCTTAGAAATCAGCGGGATCACCAAAAAAGCAAAAGACAGTGATCAGGTCAAGCTGGAGATTGATGAAGCACTTAAGGAAGCTTTTGAAGGTGATAAACCTGCAGCTGTTGTGCACCGTTTTGAGGAGCTCCCTCCTGGATCTACGCTTATATTCTATCGTTACTGTGACCATGAGAATGCAGCTTACAAAAAAGTTTTTCTTGTCTTTACTGTGATGCTTTCGGTCCGTGAAATAGACCCAGTGGCCAGTCTGAGTGCAGTTGAGGACATGGTACATGACCATGTAAAGCAGAAGTTTGTCTCCTCAGATAAATCTGCAAAGTTTAATCAAATGGATGTGGATAAACTGAGTGGACTGTGGAGCAGAATTTCTCATGTCATCCTGCCGGTGGTTTCAGAGGACAAAATTGAACGGCAGGGATGTAGGTACTAACCTTAACAGGAAATCTTAAGATTAAATCACTGTATTGGGCTGGATGTATCCAAGGACCATATAAATGTACATAGAGGATCTTTATTCCAAAGAGTTTTAAAAAAAAATGTGTTTGTTTATAAATGTTTTTTAAAAATGGTTTTCTATTCGACTTCATTTTGCTTCTGTTTTCTTTGATAATATATGTGTGAAGGCAGACACTTGATCATATTATAATAATAATGCAACAGCATTTGGCTTACAGTTGTAAATTTTTTTCCTCAAGGCCATGTGCGGTAATGACTGAAGTTTTGCACTGATGTTTGAAGTTCTGAA